AAGAATTCATGCATGTTACTTTTGATGAGACTAACTCTTTTGATTGAGAGAAAGATAGTGATGACGATATAGGTTTGGAAGCTCCATTTGAACAAATGAAGATTCAAAACCAAAGCAATGAGGCACCAAATGAAGAACAAAAGGAGGAATCAAATGAAGAAAAACAAACCGTGGCACAAAGTGATTGCTCATTACCAAAAGAATGGAGATTTGTTCCATCTCATCCTAAGGAGGTATTATCATAGGTGATCCATCAAAATGTATCACTACTAAAACTTCTTACAAAAATCATCTCGGTAGTTGTGTATTTATTTCTCAAATCAAATCTAAAAATTTCAAAGAAACCGAGTTTGATGAGTTTTGGATTCTAGTGATGCAAGAAGAATTAAATCAATTTGAAAAAAAAAACATATTTGGTACTTAGTCGCTAGACCAAACCATCAAATCACTATTGGTACTAAATGGATTTTTAGAAACAAAAGAGATAAAAATGGAATAATTGTGCGTAACAAAGCTAGATTGGTGACCCAAGGTTACAATAAAAAAGACTGTATTGATTTTGAAGAAACATTTGCACCCGTAACTAGACTAGAATCCATTCACTTGCTTATTGCATTTGCATATTATAAAGATTTTACACTTTATCAAATGAATGTTAAAAGTACATTTCTAATTGAATTTATTCAAAAAGAATTTTTTGTTGAGCAGCCTCTCAATTTAAAGATCATAAGTATTCGGATCATGTGTTTAAACTTAGAAAAGCTCTTTACAATTTGAAACAAGCTCCAAGAGTTTGGTATGAACGTTTGAGCAAATTTTTTCTTTTAAATGATTTTTCAATTGAAAAGCAGATACTACATTTTTTGTAAAAACTCATAAGAAAGATATGCTTATTGTTCAAATTTATGTTGATGACATTATTTTTGGTACCACAAACATCCATCTTTGCAAAGCGTTTTCAAGTTGTAGTAACTAGACTAGAATCCATTCACTTGCTTATTGCATTTGCATATTATAAAGATTTTACACTTTATCAAATCAATGTTAAAAGTACATTTCTAATTGAATTTATTCAAAAAGAATTTTTTGTTGAGCAGCCTCTCAATTTAAAGATCATAAGTATTCGGATCATGTGTTTAAACTTAGAAAAGCTCTTTACAATTTGAAACAAGCTCCAAGAGTTTGGTATGAACGTTTGAGCAAATTTTTTCTTTTAAATGATTTTTCAATTGAAAAGCAGATACTACATTTTTTCTAAAAACTCATAAGAAAGATATGCTTATTGTTCAAATTTATGTTGATGACATTATTTTTGGTACCACAAACATCCATCTTTGCAAAGCGTTTTCAAATTGTATGAGTAAAGAATTTGAAATGAGCATGATAGAACTAAAATTCTTCATTGGACTTCAAGTTAAACAAACAAAAGATGATATTTTCATAAATCAAAATAAGTACATATTAGACATGCTTAAAAGATTTGATATACATGATCTTAAGCTTATGAACACACCCATGAACACGTCTCTAAAGCTTGACAAAGATGAGCATTACACTCTGGTTGAGGTCACAAAATATTGAGGTATGATCAGATCCTTTCTTTATTTGACTACTAGTAGGCCTGATATTACGTTTAGTGTATGCATATGTGTTAGATTTCAATCTAATCCTAAGGAAACACATTTACGTGTCGTAAAAAGAATTTTTCGATTTCTTAGTGGAACTAGAACCTTAGGACTTTGGTATCCAAAAGAGACTCACATTGATCTAATTAGTTATTCGGATGATGATTGGACCAGATGTAATGTTGATCGTAAAAACACTAGCGAAAATTGTCAATTTCTAGGCTTTTGCACTTGTGTCTTCGTCTAGTAAGCAACAAAATTCCATTACACTATCCACCACCGAGGCGGAATACATTTCGGTTGCTAGTTGTTGTGCACAAACACTTTGGATGAAACCAACTCTTTGCGATTATTACTTATCTTATGCTCATAGGCCTATTTTGTGTGATAACATTAGTGCCATCAATCCCGTTTTGCATTCACGAACTAAGCATATTGAAATATGACACCACTTTCTTAGAGATCATGCACAAAAGGGAGATATCATGTTAGAATTTGTAAAAACCAAGGACCAATTAGCCGACATCTTCACTAAACCTCTAGCACACAATTGATTTTCCCATATTCGAAGAGGTTTAGGAATTACTGATGAAAATAAAGTGGAATAAATTCAATCTTTCCAATCACGTATGTTTTACAATTTTTTAAAATAATTTTTGAATTACCCTACTTTAAAAAAAATCCTTCAGACGATAAAGTCTAGACAGTTCAACATTGTCCGGATTGACAGAGAGTTCAAACCATTGAATCTTTGTTGATCCGGACATCCAGATCATATTCCAGACATCCAGATGAGAGGAAAATCAGGTGTTCATAAACACGAACAGCCTCTTCGTCTCTCATTTTTTCTTCTCACCTTCCTTGAATTTTTCTCAATCTCCTCTCACCATGTCATTGACATTGCTTATCGGTCTACCTTCAATTCCAAATTGCCACAAGATTATAGGTTTCAAAATCACATTTTTTTCTCAAAAATCATTCAATTTTGTGTATATATCCCCAAATATCACTCCACTCGAACCTGTCATTTAGTTTGGGTATTCTTGCACAATTCATTCACTAATTCATAGGATTTCAAAGGCCCCATCACCACTCATCAAGATATTTGAAACTCTTCTAAAAAATTTGAATTTTACTGGTGAAGATTGAACCCCTCGAATTCAAAATTTGGGGCTTTTGAGTTTCTCCTTAATTCTTCACAATGTCGGGATCTCAACAAGGAAGAAGGGCAAAAAGAATTACGAGACAACCTCCTTCACCACCTTCGGAAGAATAAATGGACTTGGAGCCGGAGGGGCCACTGAATCCTTTCGAAAAATCACCCATTTTAATTGGTGAGATTGTTGATTTTGCTGATTTTTCTATAGATATTCCAGCATTTCAAATTAAAGAATGTTTTGAACGTATGGGATGGGTATCCATGGCAACAATGGAAGAGCATGCATACCTACACCTTATGAAAGAATTTTATCAAAAGATGCACGTTGCACCTCATTTCGATGAGATTACATGTTTAGTAAAAAAATGTGTGCATTACGATTTCTAAGGCTTCAATTCGTGATATTATCGTGAAGTCACCGGGAAGGATTTTGAGAATATTACAAAATTGAGTGCGCATCAATTAATTCTTCCATGTAAAGTTTTAAAAAACATTATCGCCCATATTATTTTTCCTCGTAATGGTCACCGAGACTAAGTTAATCACTTCGGTCTCTTTATTATGGATTTACTTTTAGTTGGCCATCGAATTGATTTTCCTACAATTGCATTAGGACTTATGAAGCTTGTGCATGCATCACAACACGTTAAAACTTGACCTTATGGGATGCTTCTAACAAAATTTTTTGAACACTTTAATGTTTTTTCGATGGAGAAGATTTTGTTAAGTTACACCCTACCGATACTATCAACATCCAAACACTAAAAAGAATGAAGATAGTAAAAGAACGAGGGCAATGAGTAGCTCACACGAAAGGATTCGATCCTACCTTTGGTCCATCTACTTTGCTTTTCGAAGAAGAAGTCAAAGACGAGCCTGAAGCACCTACTCCCGCTTCTGACATTTTTAGCTCTAATGCACCCCGTTCTTTTGGAAGGCACTTCATATTTACTGAGGAGCAGTATAATCTCCTTCATAGGCGTATTGGTTCCCCCACCTCGTCCATCGACTTCTTTGTAGCCTACTTTTTCAGATACAGGCAAAGCAAACCATTATCCAGGACCGACAGGCCGAAATGCAAGAGTAACAAAATGCATTCTTCGCGAATTTTTATGCTCGCTTCCCAACTCCGACGCCCTAGTTTATTGCTATACTTTCATTTGCTAGATGTTACTTTATTGTCCAACTATAAAATTCAATTATTGCGCTTTTGTGTTATTCGGCTGCATGGCATATTATGTATTGAATGTCCTATGGTTGACTTCTTTATGACTTTCATTTGTGCTATTATCTCTTTTTGCTTATGCCAAAAGGGGAAGGATAAAGTAGATGATTATGCAAAGCAGGAGGAACATTGTAAAGGGAAACTTGTAAAATCTTATGAACATTGTAAAGGGGAAACTTAAAATTTTTATATACATGTAGATAGGGGGCACTTAAGTGAAATCAATAGGGGGAATATAATTGCTATATTCAAATTTCATGTTCCTTGCCCAATTCAATTTGTTTACTATTTATATTGCAAATTCTTTTGTTTGTCATAATCAAAAAGGGGAAAATTGTTCACCTAATGGTTGACTTCTCATTTTGATTATAACAAAGAAATTGCATTTAATTCTAACAAATTGAATTTGAGTGTTGATAGTGATTACTATGAAATCAACAAAGAATGAAGAAATGAGAATCAAGATCAAGATTCATGCATATAGTTATGTAGGCAAATTTCTGTATCCAGTATCTTTTCCGATTTTCTTGAAATTTGTTTTATGTTTCTCTGAAATTTTTAAATAAGCTATAATGTCATTTCTTGTAGGCAAATTTTTCAGTCTGTTTTTTCTTCTGATTTTCTTGAAATGTCGTATCAATTCTTTCTGCACTGTGAATGATCTCACAATTTGTGTTCTCTCTGGAGTTCTCCATTATGATCTAACGATATAAGAATCGTCCTAATTCTATCTGCTCTTCTTGTTATGTTTTCAGGGCATATCAGGGTTGATGTGTACATGATTTATTTCAATCTGGAGATTATTTTAGCTAAATTTAAAAAGTTCAACAGAGGAATTTCATGGGCTGTAGCTAGTTTGAAATTGAATCATCCAATTTTTTCTGATGATAATGCTAGCATTCATCTGCACACAGTTTTTAAGCAAAATAAGCTATATTTCCATCGTTAAACCTTTGAAATGAAGATAAGTTGCATCCAAAAACAAAACCTGTAGAAGCAGAAGCTGATGTTTTATTAATTAATACCATAAGCATTAACTTTTCTTTACAAAGTAACCATTTTTAGGTAAACAGTGCATGAAATCTGGTTAGTGTGATTCTGCAGGAGCCATGGCATCGCCAGTACTCTCTTCTGGCATATTGGATGCAGGTGAATTCATGTGTGCATGGTGACTGAAGTACATGGTGAATCCAGGACAACCATAGGGATTGCCACAGTTCATTGGTCGGCAGTGGTAATTCGGCGGAGGAACCCATGGTCCTTCTCCATATCCTGGTGGACTGCCTCCATCATTGCCCCCTGAACCGGAACCAAATCCACCACCGAACCCAAATCCACCACCATTTCCTCCGACCGGGATGCCATAACCCGGAGCACCAACTCCTGGGATACCAAAATTTGGGACACCAAAACTTGGTACGCCTCCAACCCAGCCACCACCACCTCCTCCTCCGCCTCCATTGCTAATGCCCCCATTATTGCCATTTCCACTTCCACTGCCACTCCCACTTCCATAACCACCAGCAGATCCAACTACCGGGGCACCACCAAAAGTCGGGGTGCTCACAAAACCGCCCCCGCCTCCCCCTCCACCTCCATTACTTAAAACGTGGCCGTTCCATGCATGCTCAGTATCAGTAATGTCCTCCATGCTGCGAACGATGCGGTCTTGGTTGGTTCCAGCCTCATTAGGAAGAATTCTGTGTGCAGAACACAGGACCAAGCTTAGAAATGCAAGGAGTGCAACATGGGAGCATTTTAATGTAGCCATTTCTTGATATTATAATTAAGTGATTCGAATGATATTTTCACTGTGAATACAAAGCTTTATATAGTGAAAGGTCTGCTACAAATTGCATGGTTTTATCATTTATGTTGGACAAATTCATAGAACAAGGAAGTGGTTGAGGAGAAGTGCAAATGTGCAAGGAATTGGGATTACTTCACACAATCTGAATTGAATAATTATTCATCAAATTGAGGAAAATGAAATTTGTGTGAAAACCATAGCATTTTGCTCCGTTTTCTGGCACTATATGCTTTTGTTAACTCCTAAACTGGAGAACATACATAAGACTGAGAAGACATATCGCCTGTTTAAATTAATTTTTGATTTAGAACATACATGAGACTGAGAATCTTCACTCCTAGATATATGATTTGTGGAGTCCTGAATTAATTTTTGATTCTTGTACCTCATTAACCTATTCAAATTTTGTGATTGTGATATGCATTTTGAGGAAGCATTGAATTGCTTATATTGAGTTAAGAAAATTGTTCAAAGTCTAGCGAAGTATCTATTATGCTTTATTCGAGGACGAACAAATGTTCAAGTTTGGGGGAGTTTGATAAGGTTAAAATTTACACTTATTAAAGCCACCAAAAGTGACTTTTGTTAATTTTATTATGAAATTGATACTTAATTATATGTGTTTTTATTATATTAGGGGAAAACTCAAGATCGGAGAAAATATTGATCAAGATGGATGTAATTGAATAAAATCTGCAATTTTGGGATCAAATTCCACGCTTTAGAAATTGAAGGACTTGAAGTGAAGTAAAGTAAAGAAAGATATGAATTAGCACAACTAATTGGACTTAAGGACTAAAGTGCATTACATAGAAAATTGAGACCTTGGGAAGCAAGCACAAATTAGTTGGGCCTAGAAAAAGGGAATGGGGGTTTCATTTAAAAAGCCTAGTCAAACAAAACATTAGTTTAAAAAATCCACAAACTAAGTTCTTTGGGTAAAAGGCCTAAAGATATGGAAAATGAAAATATAATTTGTAAATTACTAAAATGACCTTACAAACAAAAAAGACATTGCTGCCCTAATTCCCATTTCAATTTCCATTTAACCCTAATTAAATTCTACCTTCCTTCCATTTGCTCTTCAAAATCGGCTGTAGAGGTATGTAATTTGTTTTTTTGTCATCATCATTTTTCTCTACTTAATGAAACCTTAAACTCTACATTCCATTTTCCTTGAACACTCATTTGGTTGAAGTAAGTAATAAAATCTTGCAATATCATTGTTGGGCATTTGGAGAAGAAGGGGGTGTTGTAATTTTCAATTTTTTTGTTAGTTTCTTTGTCCATTTTTTGAATAATTTCTTCATGTCGTTGTATATATATTTATGATTTTTATTTGAGAACAATGATTTTGAATTAATTTTATCATTAGATTAGAGTTTTGATATGGGTTGCTCTCAAACCCTTTTTCTCATTTCTCATCATCTTTATCAGTTAGAATAAAATGTAAGTTTGCAAAGGCATGTTTGGCTATTCTTTTTATTAACTTACATTTAATTTTCGTCAGTACATAACAACTTACATGTTGTTTTTTGCAATCCATAACGACTTACATATCGTTATCAGTACTGTACACTGTTTGAAATGTGATGAAATTTTTATATTGAATTATAGTTATGGACACCGTGAATATGGTATGGATATCAGTTTGTTTTCCAGTTGAATATGAGTAGTCGATTGAATGTGTTTTAAAATGAAAATATGCAGGGAATGACAAATAAAAACAACTCATATTCTTGTTGCGAAAATTATTTCTTATATGGAATTATATGATAAAGTCAAAGAGGTGTTGAACATCAATTCACAACTTTTTCGGAATTTAATTGGAAAAATCGAATGATTAAATAATCTATTCACAACTTCAAATGGTTACGAGTACAGTCATAAGATATCGGTGGATTATATGTTTTTATTCCCAAATAAGATGGAATAAACCAATACCTTGAAATAGAAACCAATACCTTGGCTTTGTTGGAGCATACTTTTTTATTATTTCATTTATATTTATAATGGATAATTGATTTGGAATTATTTCCTGCAAATTACATAATCATCGTGTGTGTTATCTTGCTCATTTACTTGCTTTCAATATAAAGATTCAGAAACTTGGATGTTTACTTTGTGATTTCGTACTGCAGCTCTCTTGAGAGACATGCTTAATCAACTTTACTCTAAGAGGAATTGAACATAGCAGGTCAAATATTATGTCAGCGCTTCCAATCCTCAACCCAAAGAAAAATGGGAAACGTCGTTTTTTTTCCTTTTTCTTTAGGTGCTACTGCTGGTGACTTTTTTACATAGAAATAATTGGTCCAGCATTTTAAGCAATTTATTCCTTTAATTTCATCAAGATGTAGGTCGAAAGTGTGTGTGTATATGTGTGTAGGATAAAAACTATAATGTAATGGCTGGCTTATATGCTAGGTGAACTTCTTGGTTTATCATCATAATTCATAATCCAAGTTCATAAGTTTGTGACAGTGCTGAGATTATAAATTATCAAAATTATTCAATGGATCCATAAAGACTATATTAATCGACCGTTCATTTTTCTTTTTATAATTTTTTTCCAAAACATTCTTGCTTCTTGAAGTTCTCGAGTAATAATCGTCTGAGATTAAGGTTGTAATATTTTCCTGACTTGTAACTTTATAATTTTGTGCTTATTCAAAGCACAAGATGATTTATTAAATTTTGTAATCATTGTGCTATTGAAATGCTTTTGCACTATTGAAATGCAAACGACGTTCATATAGTTACAATTGATGTAAATGCAATCAATCTAATGACGATATATATTTTCTTCCTTCTGAAACAAAGTGTTTAAGATTGTTGTGGTACAAAAATGTATTAATTTTAATTATGAAATTGAAGTCGTTCTTGAAGCACAAAACGATATAGATGTCGTTCAAATAAAAAAAAATATAGTGAATAACATAACGATATTGAAACCGTTCCTGTAATAAAAAACGATTTCTATATCGTTTCAGTATGAAATACACACTGCTTAACTTATTTTGGTAATGACATCAAAGTCGTTATGACTATACATAAACGATATGTAAGTCGTTCTAGCACAAAAATGCATTCATTCTAAGAATGAAAAGGAAGTCGTTCCTGAAAGTCAAAACGATATAGATGTCTTTCCAATAAAAAAGTGCACTGAACAACGTAACGATATTGAAGGCATGACGGATAGTTGTGGATGGTCAAATCTACTTTTAGCTAGAACGATATAATTATCGTTTTATATGAAAAGAAACGGTATCTATATCGTTATACTTGTAATTTAAATTGAAACGATTTCAAACTATTCAAATTTGTACTAAAACGATATAAATGTCGTTACTTTATTTGTGATTTTATGCATAACGATATCAATATCGTTTTAATACAAGTTTGACGCCGTTGATATCATTTTAGTTTAAATCATAACTAAAACTACACGCATATCGTTTCAGTTAAAATAAAACGATACTTATATCGTTTTTGCTAAAAATAATGATTCGACCGTCCACGACCACCGAACATACATCTGACATATGTAGGATGATCAAAATAGGTAATCAAGTGGGTTCGATCTCCCTTAAAAGAAACTATGAGAACATTTTTGTTCTCATGATTGTATAC